CCCCAAAACCCCAAAACCCCAAAACCCCAAAACCCCAAGCTATAAAAGCAAAATTGTACTTCTAATATAATTAATTTTTAAAGAAAGTAAGAGATTTACTAACTAAATTTGAACTTCTTCTGAGCTCTAGATTAGTAGTGATTAGTTGTAAAGCAACAGCTAAGGAATAAGAGAATCTCAGAATTTTAATTATATCCTTAAAAATCTTCTTGTTTTTACAAATGAACTATTCATCAACTCAATTTTAGCATTCAGCAATTAAATGGACTACAAACTTTATTCAAAACCAAACAGATTTGGCAGACTCTCTCAGATATCGGTAAGGATTTAGCTTAAATATACAGAAGCAGCTAAATGTTGACTGGAACAGGATCCTTGAGCTTGAATCTAATGTTGATGAACACAAGAGGTATATCAAGATTTGTGAAAGAAATAAACATAAGTGCGACTTCCTAAGATTGACCCAAACCCATGATGCCTTGAAGATAATAAAGAGCGAATTAAGTGAGTATAAATGGATTCTTAATGAAGACTCTAATTCTACCAACACAAAGTTGTTTGCTGATCTATATGTGCAGGTGAACTATCTTCTCTGAAAGTTACAGAACTTTGCTCCTTCAACGATGACACAAGAAACAAAACTTTTAGGAGTTAAGAGCGAGGAAAGCAAATGGTTAAATCATTTAAATCAAGAATCAGCCTTAGATCATGCTTCTCTTGTAGAAATACCTTTATGTAAGTTAAATCTATTTTCAGACATCAGTGTCAGATTATAACTTTTATAGCGCAGCAACATGAATCGGAATGGAGAAGCCTTTTATTTGGTATATCGAGGAACTGCTTTATTGATATATGACGCACAATTGATTGTGGAAATCGTTTTTGCCCATCTCTGAGACATGAAGAATTATATAAAACCTTGATTGACATCACTTGATTAAAGGACCAAAAATTGATCAGGAAAATGAAGAAGCTGACTTTTCTAGATCATTATGAGCTAAAGATAGATAATACTATAGTAAAGGGAAATTATCTCAACCTTTTCTTGGAGAAGTGTTTTCCTAAATAACGTGAGAACTCTTACTCTAGAAGCTGAAAGCAACCAATTCTTTAATATCACCAGGATTTTCAATCCACTTGTGAAGGCTAGTTACAGGATCACAGACAAAATTTTGATCAGTAGGTAAGTAAATTTCATCAAAAGGAGAAAATAAGTAGGACAACAAAGCTAGCCTAATTAATCATATTTCTCCATGATTATGCCAAGAACTTGTTGTTACCTTCTACCTTCTTGATGTTATCATTCGAGTAATCATAACCAAAGGAGCAGTTTTATTGCCAAACTATTGCCCTCGCGCACTAACAGAACATTAATTGATTGCTTCTGATATTCTTTAATTTTATTCCTGAATAAAATTGTATTTTAAGCTTATCAGTTCAATCAAGTTTTGAATGAATTCTTCTTGGTAATCTAATTTTTGCCAACACATTATGCTTTAAAGTGTAAAATGTCTTTGCATTGACATGTCAATGACTCTATTTCTTCTCTCTTTCGTGTGGGATATAAGCAAGCTAGAAATTTAAGAATTTTCATACAAATTCTAACTAAGTTTACAAGATTAGTTAACATATTTTAGGATGAGGATCAGCCAAAGACAGTATCAAAAGCTACTTGTTGCGAATAGAAATACCGGAGTAGTTGGGCTCCATGATTGCCATCTTTTGATTACTACTGTGCTCAAATTTGGACAGTCAATGAAAGGAGCTACTATTAAAACTCTTGATTTTAGTAAATGTGGTCACAGATCTGTGAAGAATAGGCTTGAAGCTAAAAATATTTTTGAGCTTATATTGCAAGGGATCTCAGAATGTCCTGATCTTAAGGCCTGCTTGGAGCTTGTTGATTTCAAAGAAGGTCGACTATTTCAACGTGACATAATAGTACTTCGAGAGAAGCATGATCTAATTCATGTAAAATATGATTGCTAACCTGTAAAATTGATAGCTTAATAGTTCAACAAAGCTAACATTGCATGGGGTTTTGGGGTTTTGGGGTTTTGGGGTTTTGGGGTTTTGGGG